GGGCAGTATCTTTTCTGTTAGATGTTTCATCTCTTAGTCTTTTTGAACAAGATTTAGAAAGAATTGTTCAACTTTATTTTCCAGTCTTTTTATTATTTATGTTTTTCTTCACCACTCTTAATTTCCAAAAACTTTTTTTATCCTATGGATGCTCCTTCTTTTTTTAAAAATAGCACCTTATTCTTGTTTAATGAATACACTACCTTTCTTTTCATGGAGACATCAATATTAATTTATTTGAGTTACTTTTCTTTAAATAATCTCTTTATTTTTATTGGTTTCTGCTTTTTTAATATTACACTAGTGGCCTGGTGCATGGATTCATGCACATTGAAAGGAAATTAATTAGAAGAAATATTTTAATATTGCTATTCATCCTTTCTCTATAACAGAAGTGTCAACCAAATTCACAATCGACAATGACAGATTGAAATACATGCCTACGATTGGCACCAGCAAGACAAACACTAGTCCCTCAGGCAGCCCCACAAAAGCCAGAATGTTGGACACACTCCACTCTGCTCTTTCCCTTACAAGGGAGAAGCTACAAACTGGACTTTTCCTCCCAATCACACAAAGGTGAGCTGGCTTAGGGGAAGGGCTGTTGTAGTTTATATGAAATGGATTTCTTTCCTGTTTCAATATGGCTATTCTTGACTTTGAGCCTGCCTGGGATATTAGGACTTCTAATTAGTTTCTGGAGTTCTCCTAAAGGCCCTTTGGCCCATATACTATTGTTAAGTCAGTGTCTCAGGGGGCTGGCTGGGGGGGCGGTGGGGAGGAAGTAAGGACTGGTCCTTCTTATTCTGCTATCCTCCTGATGTCACTCCTGAAGAACTTTTTAAATGTTTATTTTTATGCAGTTTGCCTCATTTGTAATAACCTGCTTATGTTATATTTCTTGTTCATTTCCATTCTGGAGTGTTTGTCTCTTTATAACTCATTTGTAGAAGCCATTTCTATATTTGTCTGTTTTATAGGTTGCAGATATTTTCCAAGTCTGTGGCTGGTCTTTTCCACTTATTCAGTGTGAGTGTGAGTGTGAGTGTGAGTGTGTGTGTGTGTGTGTGTATGTGTGTGTCTATTTTAGTTTGTTTTTTTGTTTATTCTCATCTAAGTCTTAAAAAATCATCAACTTGCCCTGGCTGCGTGACTCAGTTGGTTGGAGCATTATCCTGTATACTAAAAGGTTGCAGATTCAATATCTGGTCAGGACACATATCTAGATTGCAGGTTCAATCCCGGGGGGGGGGGATACATGTGGGAGGCAACTGATCGGTGTTTCTCTCTCTCCCTCCCCCTCTTCCTCTCTCTCTAAAAATCAATAAAACACATCATTGGGTGAGGTTTAATAAATAAATAAAATCATATTTTGAGATTTGGTATAGGTCATAGATAAAAATTGCCTTCTATTGATTTTTTCAAATTCCCTTTAAAAAAAATATATATATATATATATATAATTTAAAAAAATATATATTTATTGATTTTTCACAGAGAGGAAGGAAGAGGGATAGAGAACTAGAAACATTGATGAGAGAGATACATCGACCAGCTGCCTCCTGCACAACTCCCCACCTGGGATGTGCCTGCAACCAATATACATGCCCTTGACCCGAATCGAACCTGGGACCCTTCAGTCCACAGACCAACGCTCTATCCACTGAGCCAAACCGGTTTCGGCCCCTTTAATATATTTTGAAGTTTATTACTCAAAAGACCCATTATTCAACATCACCACAAGACTAAATTAAAGTCCTTACCTAATATTTAAATAAATGACTGTAAATGCTTTCCATGCACCCTAGGGATTCATCTTATATTTTTAGATATACTTTATATGCCACAAAATGCACATATCTGAAATGTACAATCTGAAGATTTTTAATAAATTATTGAGTTGGACAACAAACATCATCATCTACTTTTAGAACATTTCCATCTTTTGTGTTCAGTTGTAGGAAATCCCTGTTTTTACCTCTAGCCACAGGCAACAACTAATATATATACAGATTTGCATATTCTGGACATTTTATAAAAAAAATGGAATCATACAATGTGTGTTCTTTTATGACTTACTTCTTTCACAAAGCATGTTTCTGAGGTTCACACATGCTGCAGCATGAATCAGTAGCTTGTTCCTTTTTCTTAGGAATAATATTCTATTGTATGCACATACCATACTTTGTTTATCCAATCATAAGTTGATGGATATTTGGTTTGCTTCCACTTTTTGTCTATTATGAACAATGCTGCTATAAACATTTATATACTAGTATTCAAGTTCTTGAAATAAGCCACTTGTATACATTTTTTGGTGACATGTATTCCAATCTTTTGCCAATTTTTAAACTGGATTATTTGTCTTATTATTGGATTCTTTATATATGCTGAATTTGAGCCCTTTATCAGATGTACAATTTCATAATACTTTCTATTTATGACTTGTTTTTTTCATTTTTTTCAATGGTGGTAACATATAATTTTTTGTTTACCCATTCCCTTGTCAATGGTCCTTTGGATTGATTTTGGTTTTGAACTATTACAACTAAAACAGTTATGAATATTTACACAAAAATATTTGTGAATACCTATGTTGTCACTTGTCATGAGTAAAAACTCAAAAATGGAATTGGTGGGTCATTTGGTAAGTTTATGTTTAACTTTATATTAAACTGCCACACTGTTTACAAAAATGTTTATATTATGCACATTCTCCCAGTTTATGAAAGTTCTGGTAATTTCATATCCTTTCTAACACATGCTAATGTGTCTTACATTTTAATTATTTGAGGGAGTTTATAGTTGGCATCACATTTGTTTTTTTCTTCAAGTTTCTTTTATTGCAATAAAGCATACGGAATAGTTATTATTGTAACCATTTTAAAGTGATAACCATTCAGTGGCATTAAATATTAAATTCGCAAATTGTGTACCCATCACCACAATCTATACCCAAAGCTTTTCCTTACTCCCCACAAAAACTGTGTACCCTTTAAACAATCACTCCACTCCCTCTACACACTTATAACCTACTAGAGGCCCGATGCATGAAATTCAAGGGCCTTGGCCGGCCACCTCTGCCTTGGCCCCCGGCCGCCACAGCTTTGTCCAGAAGAAAGGATGTCTGGTCCAATTAGCATATTAAGCTTTTATTATTACAGATAGTCTGCTTTCTATCTCTATTAATTTGCTTATTCTAGGTACTTCATATAAGTGGAATCATACAATATCTGTCCTTCTGTGTCTGGCTTAGTTCACTAAGCATGATGTTTTCAAATCTATCCATGTTCCTGCACATATACAATTTTTTTCCTTTTTATGGCTGAATAGTATTGTAATGTATTTGTAAACCACATTTTGTTTCTCTGTTCATCTGTTGATAGGCACTTGGGTTACTATGAACTTGGTGTACAGATATCTGAGCCCCTGCTTTCATTTCTTTTGAATATGTACTTAGGAGTAGAATTGTTGGGTCTTCTGATCATTCTGCATTTAACTTTTAAAAAGAGAGAGGGAGGGAGGAAAAGAAGAGAGAGAGAGAGAGAGAGAGAGAGAGAGAGAGAGAGAGAGAGAGAGAGAGAGATAATAAGAGAATCACTGATTGGCTGCCTCCTGCATGCCCCACACTGGGGATTCAAACCCGCAACTTGAGCATCCAGGCAAGTGCCCTGACTGAGAATTGAACCGTGACCTCCTAGTTCATAGGTCAATGCTCAACTACGAAGCCATGCTGGCCAGGCTGTATTTAAATTTTTGAGGAATTGCCAAACTGTTTTCCACAGTGGCTGTACCTTTTTCCATTCCCACCTGCAATGCACAAGGGTTCTACCTGCTTTATTTTTACCAAGATCTCTTAGTTTTCATTTATGTTTGTGTTTTTAAATTACAGCTATCCTAGTAGGTGTGATGTGGTATCCCATTGAGATTTCAATAGGGAATTCCCTAATAATTACTGATATTGAGCATCTTTCCATGTGTTTATTGACTTGTACAAATTCCTGGGAAAAATGTCTAGTGAAGTCTCTTGGCCATTTTTTTAATATTGAATTTTCTGTTATTGAGTTTTAGGAATTTTTTATACATTCTGGGTGTATGATTTCAGATACATGATTTCCTTTCTACTCTTTCAGTGGGTTGTTTTTTTGCTTTCTTGATAATATCCTATGATTCATAAAAGTTCTTAATTTGAATGAAGTCCGATTTATCTAGCTTTTTTACTGTTGTGCTTTTGATGTCATATCCAAAAAAATCACTTCCAAATCCAATGTAATAAAGATTTCCTCATGTTTTTGCCTAAGAATTTTATAGTTTAAGGGTTAGATGCAAAGGATTTCTAAGTCTGAGAGCAAACACCATACCTGACAGAGCTTTCACTGGCAATAGCTTTATAAAAAAAAATCACAATGTGCTTTGGTCCTTAGATTCTTTTAGTGAATGATTTGTTAAAAATAAAATGCTCACCAGTTAAACCAACTTTGAATTCTTCCTCATAGTGAAGAAACATTTTATAACGTGACCAACTGCTATTTAATTTATCTGACTCTTTGATTTGTTTAGTCTAAATGTTAGAATATTGTTCCTTAAAATAGTCATTTAAGTCATATGTGCACATTAAGTATCTGCTGCCTTGTAAACATCCTGGTTGTGTTTGTGTTTGTGTGTGTGTGTGTGTGTGTGTGTGTGTGTGTGTAATGACATGCACACACGAGCTGAGCACTTGTTCTGTGTGCTCTACTGTACATGGAGGGCTTTTGACTCTATGGGAGCATGTGACACATTGCACGATTTACTGCCTTATGAAAGTTGAGAACAGGGATTAAGAAAGTTTGATAAAGTTCATAAATTTTCTATGTATTCAACTAAAATAATCTTTTCAAAATGGATATAACTATAACTATAACTATAAACATGCATTTCCTAAGAATTATAACTTTTTTTCTCATAACCAAACATATATTTTGAAACTTGAGAAGAGGGCTGTTAAGTTCCACACCTACCGCCTCTGAGTGTTAAATCCATTAAGATGACTCTCTCTGAGTTCAGACACTAATGATAAAACCATCTGTAAAACAAAATCAGTTGCAGGTTAACTCGCACTGCAAACAGGATGACATCAGTTCTATTTTCCTGGTGTGAGTGGTATTTCCGTTGAGATTCCCTACCCTCTTCTACCAGCTCTCTCCTTGTACTTTGTCAAAGTGAAAAGAGGCAGTGCCAACTTATTTAATAATAATTTGGATTTTATGTTTAATGCCAGTTATTCTGAATTCCTACTTAAGCAAATGAACAACAGATAGATCACTAATTTCCTAAAAATTAAAACCGAACCCATTACAAATAAAACAGCACTAGAGTTATTTTATTTTTCTTTCTTAGTCTTTATTTTTTATTCATGCGTAAAGCGTCCAAAAGACCAGAATAGTTAAACAATGAAAAATCTCCTAACAGTTTTTAAAAGAGCTATGTTAAGATCAAAATGAAAATTTCTTCAATCTAGCTAAAATTTAAGGCAGAAGAACACATAGCTTTAATATAATAGTATTTACAAGGTTGTAACTACTTTTTTTTTTTTTTTGCTTTAACACAAAATTCCTATCATGCCATTTTAAATATAAAATTTGTCTAATAATGAAAGGCTGTATTTACATTGGTTAACCAATTTCTTCTCCTAAAAGTCTCTGGGAGGATAAATGAAATGTGTTAAGAGACAGAGCAGTTGGTTGATTTAGAATAACCTCTCCTGGCTTCCTTCTTCTTTCCCATAACCCCCATCTCACATTTCTTCCTTACATGGCTGTAAGTCCGCCCAACATAAGAAGAGATAAACATAGAAAAGTTAAACATCTCTTCTGGAGAAGTGAAATACTTCTATTTATTCTTTTTGCTGATGATATATTAACCAATGAAAAATTTAATACTAATAAATTAAAAATACTTACATTCTTTAGCAAACCAGGATAATAATCTGCAGGTGCATAGCCAAGACTTTGAGTAAAAAGATCAACTTCTTTTATATCAAATCTGAATGCTGCAAGTATATGAGATAACAACCCCTACAAACACAAACAGAAAGAGAAAAAAGTTCTGAAATGTGAATACAAGTGCTTTTTATGTTTAATGCCTAGAGTCCGGGTCATTCGTAAATGAGCAATCTTAATGTGCCCATATACGCAGTTCACTTTAATTTAATGTGTAAGAAGAAAGAGCCCGGCAAGCATGGCTCAGTTCAGTTCCCAGTCAGGCGTATGCCTGGGTTGAGGGCTCGATCCCCAGTAGGGGGCATGCAGAAGGCAGCCAATCAATGGTTCTCTCTCATCATCGATGTTTCCATCTCTCTCTCCCTTTCTCTCTGAAATCAATAAAACCGTTAATAAAAAGAAGAAATAAGTTAGTGATAAAAATTATTAAATTCAAAGTCAGCTTTTAAAAATGTTAACAGTGAAACAAAAATACATAAAGAACAGTGCTTTGACCACATTAAGAATGTACTCTTTATTGGTTTTAAAATCAGCAAAATATTTTTATCAGAATAGATGACAATCAAATGATAAAAAACACATTAATCACTAGGAAAAGGAAAGATTATGTGAAAAATAGTGCAGAGAAAACTATTTGAAAAAAAAAAATTAGATTTCTACCTAATACTACTCATCAAAATATACTTGAATTTAACATAAATTCAAGAGATCAATGTAAAAATGAAATAAAATAATAAACAAGAAGAAAATATAAGTGCTTTTCACATGTATAAATGGGGAAGAACTTTGTAAACTGAAAATCAAGGAAGCAAATAATTGATTATTCTAAATAAAAATAAAACCTTTTGTTTTCCATAAAATAAGTACAAACCAGAAAGAATATTGACTACAAATAATACAGATCATATGTAAAGTAATGTGCAAAATACCAAATGACAAACACTGAGTATAAGATGAGTATAAACAGATAATTCTTAAGAGAAAATACAAATGCCCAAGAAACCCATGAGTAAATGTTCACCTTCATAATCAAAATGGGTAAATTTAAGTATCAACCTTCCAACACTTATTTTTTCACTTAATAAATTAGAGCTTTTACAGATATGAATACCTAATTAACATTAATGTGAAGCGAGTACTCTGTGTGAGCCGTGGAAGCACGTAAATGAGCATCCGCACGTCAGTTCTGCTGTGGACCCCCTGAGGCACCCCAGAGAGCAGAGCAGGCGGAGCCCAGTCTACAGCACACCCTCCAGCTTGGACTGCCAGGGCTATGTGTGCCCAGAGGCTGGTAACCCAAACAAAGATGCCTTATATTGTAGATGGGTAGATGCCTGCCTTACAGAAAGCAACTTGAGGCTATTTTATAAGGCTTTAAAAGCATTCAGGACTTTTAAGATACCTGGTTTATATTTAAAGAAATAAATCCAAATATGACAATGGGATTATGCTCAAAGATGTTCATTACAGTATTATTTCTCATTAGCAATGTCTAACAGCAGGGAATGATTAATTTATAGTGTCTCACATAGCAGCTCATTGTATAAGCCATTAAAATGTGTATGAAATATTTATAACAGCATTTTAAATGTTTATATTACCATGTGAAATAAAGAAAGGAAGATGTAAAATTTTATACACAGAAAAGATCACATCAATATAAAAATAATCCTCACATAAGAATAAAAAAATAATGAAATGTTGACAGTCATGGACCTAAATAGAATATTTTCAAAAGAAGAAAGAAGGAAGGCCAAGAGGCACATGAAAACATGCTCAAAGTCACTAATTATCAGAGATGCAAATCAAAATGTCAATGCGGTACCATCTCACACCTATCAGAATGGCTATCGTCAACAAATCAACAAACGACAAGTGTTGGCGAGGATGTGGAGACAAAGGAACCTTTGTGCACTGCTGGTGGGAATGCAGACTGGTGCAGCCACTGTGGAGAACAGTATGGAGTTTCCTCAAAAAATTGAAAATGGAACTCTCATTTGACTCAGTAATCCCACTTCTAGGAATATATCCCAAGAAACTAGAAACACTAATCAAAAAGGATATATGCACCCCTATGTTCATAGCAGCACAATTTACAATAGCTAGGATTTAAAAACAGCCTAGGTGCCCGTCAGCAGATGATCAGATAAAAAAAACTACTCACCTTTTCATAATGATGTAAATCAAAATGACAAATGTTGCCCCCATTAAACGTAATCATGCATTAGCAACACCAGGAGGCATCTGTGCCGCCTCTCCCTCTCCCCACTCTTCGGAGGAGTCTCCGGAGGAAAGGTCCGCTCCAGACCTGGCATGCACCCTCCCATGCAGGTTGCGATACTTCCTCCGTGAGCTCAGAATTGCTCAATATCCTCAGAACAGAACTCAGGCAACATTACTGAGTAACACAGGTCGAAACTGCTGTCCCTAAATGAGATCCCGCCTACTGTTTTCAAATTAGAAAAGATCACAGCAAGTTCAAGTAGCTTTGAAATATTACTGCTCAGTGGAAGATATTATGATTAAAATGTTTCCTGCACATATAAATATAACGTAATTTACAAAAAATGCATCCACTGGAGAGGGAGAAAAACCGGAAATGTAGAGCGTTAAAGTGAACTTATGAAGTCTCAGCTCCTGAGAGGCTCTCGTTAGCATGGGAAAGGCCGGTGGAAGCCTCTGCCTGCTAACTGTCCTTTCTCCTCCCAGCTCAGAGCCGGCCTTTATGAGGCCGGCCAGCAAACAGGAGCTGACGGCAGCCCAGGAGAGCCCGTCGCTCAGTTATTTTCAAACACCAGGTGCAGCCTGGGTGAGAGCAAGCAGTGTGTGCGGGCGGCAAAGCCAGGAGAGGGAAATGGCAGCCAGGCCATCCTGAGGGGAGCTCACTGGCGGAGCACAGGTGGCGCACTCAGCGAGGGGCGGCTGGGGCCTGACCCGTGGGGGGGCAGCGCAGGTGTGCGGCAAAGGAACGGCCAGCAGGCCTGGCCTGTCACAGGCCGCACACCCCCGTGGAGGCACCCACACCAGCCCAGGCAGGGGAGGGAGGAGGCCGAGCCTGATTTGACAACTTGGCGGCCACCGGCTCAGTCGGGGGGAGTTTGGGTCATTCTGATGCTAGATGGAGGGAGGACGGAACTGGAAGTGATTAGCCTTCTGCCACCAGGCATTCTATTTAAAAAACACTTAAAGCTGTTCAGGAAAAGCATGTTACAAATAGCAACTCATTTAATCCCCACAGCCTACAGGGTAGGTACTATTACTGAATCTGTTACAGATGAGCAAACGGGGACACAGAGCTTCCGAACACGCCAAGGCTGGTTACTCACTATCTAAACCGCCGTAAGAGGAACCTCCCAGCGTCCTCTCTGCAGGAGGCAGCTGGACACCGCCCCCCCCCCCCCCCCCCCCGTTTGTTTTTAAACAATGCAAATCTAAGGGGTCCTCAGCTTAAGGCCCTCTGGGGGCCCTTTAAGGCTCCCAGCCATTCTTAGATGAAGCCCACACTAGCTCCCAAAGCCCCAGGGGCTGACTCTCCTTGCTGGCTGTGCCGGCCCCTCAGGGCCTCAGGTGCTCAGCCAGTCCAGTCCGTCTTGCAGGGAGAGCTCTCGGCCCCTGCATCCCGTCAGTGCAGCCGCTTGGGGGGATTCTAACAGCTATGACTACTAAAATGCACTGAGCGCTCACTATTGTGTGAAGCACTGTGCTAAGTGTTCTAAGTATGGCGCCGCCCTTAAAATTCAGTTTTTAATAAAATTCAATTAAGCGAAGTTTCAATTGAGCCACCTATAAAGGATGGCTGCATCAGTTTACATGACTGGCCCTTAACCAGTTAAAGCACCGAGTACCGCAGACTCAGGGGGTGAAGGTAGTGCGGTGTGTGCAGTGGGCGGAGAACACGGGCAGCCGGACTGTGGGGCTAAGAACAGGCTCTCCCGGGCCTCCCAGAGGCCCTCCCATCCTGCGCCCGGGGACCAGTGCAAGCGCGGGGCTCCCACAGCGGCATGAGCTCCTTTGGCAGCCATGCCAACGAAAGGTAAAAAAAGAAAGAACTCCAAGCCTAGGACATTCAGCAGATTTAGAAGGTGTGACTAGGGAGTGTAAATAATTTCTGAGTCATGTTTAAAATAGCCATAAACAGTTCCCTAGGGAGCATCCACAACACCTGCACTAGACAAGCTCACTGTAACACTTAAGGTCTTGGAAACATAAAAATAACTTAATTAGCAGACCTGTCCTGGCCCAAATTTCCAAAATGATATTGTTAGAAACTGATTTTTTAAACATTAAATATTATAAAAATGAGTTCCCCAGCCCACCTCCTGCCCTGTGAAAAAACAAACAACCGCCACCATAATGCTCAGTGTTGGCAGGAAGGCGGAGAGAGGGCGCTCTTGCCGCTGGGAGCTCACATTTGTGAAGCTTTTCTAGGAACTCCCTATGACATATAGCCTAAGCATGGAAACTGTATCCTTTTATTCATATGCATTATTATTTCCACCAATACAGCCTAAGAAAAGATTTAATTCACAGCAGCATTACTTGTGACAGTGAAACACTAGAAGAACTAAAGTGCCCAACATTGAGCTGGTTGAATTCATTATGGTTTATCCAACAGTGTGAATCATGTTGTAAAAAACATTTAATAACACAGGAAAATACAATGCAACATTCGTTTGAAACATAAGGTGTCAAACTATATGGTCTATGTGATTTTAATTCTGTATGCACAAAAAAAATACTGGGAAGAAACTTTATAACTACAATACAATAGTTAGCATAGATTATTTCTAGGAGTAATTTAAAATGTCTTCTTCAAAATACCTGTACTTCCAAAGTTTCTACAATCTTCATATCTTTCTTTTATAATAAAATAATGTTTTGTAAAACAAAATGACTTGCTTTAATTTATGTCTCCCCCTCGCCCCCATAATTCCCTAATACAAACTGCTATGGAGGGCCATACGAGTTTTATCCCTGGGTAAAATAAGCATGGTCCTAGGAAAGAACATATTGAGACTTGGCTATGGTTAGATAATTTCAAAACAGACACCTCAAACTTTAGACCTCCAAATCTC